CACACATACAGGCGTTTCAAAACCCAAGCAGTTGTGTGCGAGACACAATTAGTTGTGTCGAAGGCGGCGGCAGGGAAAGAAGACCAGTCCGAAACGCTCTCTAGTACATACACTCAGCTGCTTTCGACCGAACACTTATATTCCCAGGTCTAGACTTCCACGATACCCAGCTTCGGGTCTCGAAGTTTTCGTTTAGACAGTTAGAGGACAGATGAGTTATAGTTCGGAATAGTGCTCCCATGGTTCCATGGCCTTTCACCAAAGGGGAAAAGGAGGGACCCTTGCTGGGGACTAGAATAGCTATATTAAGGGCCTAGGGGTCCTTATTAAGGGTCCCTCCTTTTAGCCTTGGATTTCACCATGTCCCAGTGAGAGGGTCAACGATCATCATCATTGCCTGTCGTGAAAGTCGTCCGGTGCCTGCACACCTAGCGTGGTACAAGCATAGTTCGTCGTCAGAACCACCTATCGTTTCCATTGCAGTTCCTTGTCTGGGCTACCTCAAAGCATCCTACATACATACATATGTGTATATATATATATATAAGCAAATATAGAAACATGTATCTATGTATTTGTTTGTATATGTTTCTGCTTGTTTGTCTCCTTATGGGGAACCCCCGTGAGTCCAGCTCGAAGCCTGGGAAACCTTCGACTGCCATGCCCAGATCTGCGAAAAGTTCGTCCAGCTTGGCGGAGTCCGGAGACCAACATCTCAGGAGATGAGCCGTAGGGTTTAGGGTTCCATCTAGTGCCTAGGGTTTTGGCTTCAGGGTTTTCGGGTTTGTTTAATTAGGATGTTCGGGTTTAGGGTTTGGTGGCTCTGGGTTTACAGTTTAGGGCTCAGGGTTTGTGAGTCCTCCGCGGTAGGCTACAGTGTGTTATACTAAAGTAGAAGCCAGAAAGTTGGAACATCATTCTCCCCAGGCCCTTAAAGTACAGTACGAGGGGGAATTCATTTTAGGGTTTAGGGTTGAGGGTTATAGGGTTCAGGGTTTAGGGTTTAATGGACTCAACAGCAACTCCTGTGGGTGCGAGTGCTTCCGTCATATGTATACATCCGGACATCCGTCCATGCACAGGTGCGTACATCCATCCGTCCGTCCATCCATCCATGCATGCATTCGTAGAGTGAGAGTGGGAGTGGGTTTAGGACGAGGAGTAGAGTGGGGTCGGGGCTAGCAGACTAGCAGTAGGAGTGGAAGTAGGGATAGGCAGCATGGTCGTCGTCGTAATGCTTGCTGTCGACATGGTCGTCCAGAACGAACCAAAGCACAGTCTCGGCAGTACAGCTTTTCGCACCGCAGAGACGACTCACTACTCACACTATATTCGTGCGGAGAAGACGACTTCTTGTGCAGCAGTACAAGCCCCAAAGCCCTACAGATGAACCCCAAACCCTAACCGCTAAGCCTCTAAGCCTAAGACGATGTATGCGAGGTCGAAGTCTTAGAGAAAGTCCTGCGTGGGGATCCAGAGGCCGGGTATAGCCGCCCTGAAACCCTCAAAGGGGGACCCATTATAGAACCCTTTAGTACCTCTGAAGCCCTTAAAGGGGAACCATATATGTATGTATGTATATATATATATATATATATATATATATATATATATATATAGAACCCCATGGTCTCCTCCAAAGGTTCCTTTAGATTCTATTTTAGGGCTTGGGGCTCCCCTTGGGGGGATCCCGCAGCTCTGAGGACTCGGATCTTGAGGCTTTGGGCCCAAAGCCCATACTTTAGGGTTTTAGGGTTAAGGGTTTCGGGTGTAGTATATGAGGCAATATGAGGCTTTGGGACGCTTGAGCCTCAGCAGCTAGGAGTGCTTTCGCGCTTTTAAGTTATAGTTTGGGGTTTAGGCTTTAGGGTTTTGGGGGTTCCTTCTAGATAGCCCTCTGAACAGATTAGTTCATGATTGTTACCCCAAAGCAGGATACCAACCTGGAACAATGTTATGCTAGCCGACTAAATTTCGCATGTCCAGCTCCTTTACCTTGCAAGCTATCCCGTGCATCCCGATCGAAGGGGGTGAGTCTTGAGTTTGAGGCGCCGGGCACCTCGTTGTGCTTCGCACCGCCACAAGGTTGCAGGTTTAGATCAAGAAGCGCAGCTGTGAGACGACCAACAGACATGGTCTGATAGTGAACATGATTTAGGACAATACTAGGAAGACTAGCATGTCAGCCGCTCTTGTAGTGCTGGGTGTATGGGATTGGATGAAGCTGTACGCTGTTCCAGCTCGGCTTTCCCTGAAGGCATGGGATCTACGTGGCAATGTCGTTCAGGGGTTTGGAACCGGTAACAGCCAAAGGACCCTGTCTTGTTCAGCCGGGTGGCAGATGAAAGCCGGCATTTTCGGAAGCTGAGAGGTTTCTCGGTAGCTGCTTTCGTGTTTTGGGATTGGGGTTTGCATTTTTCTGCCGGAAAGGAAAGTCCTGTACATTCTACTCTAGAGCCGAGACTCCATGGATGCGTTTTTTAGGGTTTAGGGTTTAGGGTTTAGGGTTTAAAGAATCACAGAAACCCTTTGACGTCCTCGCAGCAAGTCCCTCAGCCTAACACCAACAAATCGTAGCTTGCAGGGCCGCAACTGTCTCAAGCCACTCTGCTGCAGTCCGCAACGCAGATGCTGACGCCGTTCCACCCCGAGTTGCAGGCAGGCTTTTCATCTGGAGTTTAGGATTTCGGATTGCTTTCTGCGGTTCATGAAGTTGCAATGACTGCAAAGTTCGAATCGCGCGGGTTTTGGAGAGTTTCGTGATGTTTCCGTGATGGGAAGTGCTTTGAAGAGCACATGAATTCCGAACCTCGCTCAGCCGAAACCGCGGTTCGGCTCTAGGGTCCACTGAGATGTTGGGACAGGAGGATGGCCTGCTCATCCTCGTTCAAAAGGGCACTCTCTCTGAAGTCCTGAGCCAAACCAAGTCAGGCAATGGACTCTAAGCTTCAGAGTATGGGCTTTCAAAAAAGTGGCATGTAAGGTTTAAACCTTAGTGTCGTTCTTCAGGTTTAAAGGTCTTGAATGGCAGTGTCGAAGCTGTGAGCTCTAGGCTAAGTAGAACCATAACGGGCGGTCGTTAAGCAGAGGTGGTCCATGCTTGCCGTTGCTGTCTTGCGGGACTTTGAGGATTATCTTCGGGTTTTAGGATGGATTTTGCTCGAACTCCAGAGCACTAGCCCTTGACACTAAACGTTGAACTTACTAGCTCAAATCTCAAGCTCTACTTCCTGCCTTAACCCTGAACTTCAAACTTACTGGCTCAATCCTCAAGCTCTACTTCCTGGCAGGCTGTGCTGTCGCTCATTCTGGCAGAGGTTATCTTGCTCTCGGATGCTGAGGCGAGACACCCCACCCACTGAGTCTAAGGCTTGCGGCTTAGGGTTTACGATTCAGATTTTTGGGGGCAGTTTTACGGGTCTTGAGATCTTTGGCGGTTAAGGGTGCTTGCGCTGGCGGGTTGACTGTATGCTGCTCTGGATGTCGGTTCTGTCCATAGCACCATGGTACCTCCAGAGTTGTCTCTTCCAGGACTTCCCTTAGTTGCATTGCTGTTTTTGCTGTGTTTGCGCACGAGCCAGCACATGCAAACACCGAAACAACGAAAGCGGGAACAGCAGCAAACAACGGCGCAATTTCAGCAGCAGCAACAACAACAACAATGACCATGGCAACCACAGCACCAGCAACAAAAGCAACAACAGCAACAGCCACCAAGAAAGGACACCAAAAGTCCATGACCTTCGCCAGCAATTACGCATCTATCAGGACTTACCACTCCTAGGACAATCCATCGTCTTAGTCCTTGCACTGATACTGCCACTAACAAAGCGACTCCCAAAACTAGACTGCATGCACCACCGGCACGTAAAGCACTACCGACAACGAACACGACGTTGGTGATGACTCCGGCGTTGCAAGTCTACTACTTAATTAGCAGCCTCAGACCAATAAGTGGCCCCGAGCAAGCCGCGACCGGTAAGGTTATGGCGAAGCGTGGTGCGCGGAAAATGGTGCAGCACTCAGCTTGGATGACATTGCTCTTCATTTCAGTTCATCTGTTTCTCTTGATCGTCAAACCTAAACCCTATAAACCCTAAGTCCAAATCCAATATCTACATCCACACCGCCGGTCCCCTCTAGTGAAGTCCTATCCCTGGAGGAGGCAGCTCTCGCATTTTCAGTATCTTGGTTCAGGGCTTCTGGGTGCTCCAAATGTCTACGAGGTTCGTTCACAACTTCTGGGATGGTTGCCTGATTGAGGCTTTCATGTTTCCACAATGGTCTAGGCAGGCATGGCGCATAATGATAAAGTATGCTTCCTGCTGACAGGGCATCAAGTTCTTGTCAGACGCATGAGACATCTGCTAATTTCTGCACTTTCCGAATCAGCATACGACAGAGACAGGCAGAAGTGCAGAACTGAGAACTCTGTACAGCGTTCCTAGAATACCGCGTACGACATGCTCAACTCCTCAGAAAATTTTAGGGGCCTCTGCACTTTGAAGCAGTGTTCCTGCAGACTCCGCGCTGCTTATTGCTGCTTAAATGGCTGTGGCAGTTTCTGGCTGATGCTGGCACCTGGACGGCAGAGTTTACCGCAAATCCTTGTTGACATTGATGCGAACACGCCTTACTCTATAGCCGGATCCTGTCCGCACAACCCTTACCCTAAAGGTCCAGGGGACCTAATAGTTAGGTATCTGGTTCTGGATAGTAGGTTAGTATGTGGGAGAGTAAAAGACTCTCAGGTACTCGGAACCCTTAGTTCTAGGGATTGTAAACTTCCGGCGATAAGCCTCAACGTCCTCAGACAAGAGTTCAAGCCGCTGACTCCGTCGTCCTTGCATTCTGAACCTTAAAGTCCGAAGCCTATATAACTGCAGTCAAACCTATGAAAATGTAAAAACAAAACGTTAAACAACCATGGCTAACGTTAAAAAACGATGGTCAAAAACTATGAAAGCCTCTTCGGCCAGAATCAGATCCCAGTGTGAGCCATGCGTCGTGGTCAGCATGCCCTTCCTGCGGCAGCCTCCGTACATTGTTGGAGCCAGGGGCCTCACAGACTGCAGCCGACACAGTGGCTGGGTTCTTGTTAAGACGTTTAGTTTAAGTCACCATAATCGGGATCTATGGTAAAAAATATGGTTTCCTTATTCTTATGGCAACTTAACTTCAATCCCTTAGCAAGACCCCAGGGGGTTCAAGATTGCACTGCTTAGCAGCTGCCTGGCTGGCCAGCTTGCATTTGGAGCCTTTCCATTGTTTCCGCGAGGGACGCTGGGTACACGAGATAGATGCAGCGTCATCGCTCGAGCAGAGCCCTCCGCTGGTGAAGGTCTTTGGTCAGCTCGACCTGAGGATCGCGAGATGGCCAGTGCGGAGATGCAACTTCACTTCGAACGTAACGGCTTCTGCCATGTGCCCTCGTTCTTGAATGTGCCTGAGGCTTCTTCACTAGCCCAGGAACTCGCACAGGTCCAGTCCTTAGAGATCTGTGAGATGGCAGCTCTGCAGCACGAGTTGAGGCAGCATGTTGCCCCATCTCTAGCAAGATCCTGTCGTACAACGCAGGACTGCAAGCAAATGCTGCAGAAATATGAGAAGTCAGGGAAGGTGAAGTTTTTGCAGTACTTCAACTTGCACCGTCACAGTGCTCTTTTGCGCCGAGCTGCTCTATCTCCTCGCCTGGCTTTGTGGGCAGCTCGCTTGCTAGGTGTCTCCCAGGTGCGCCTTTACCAGGATGCACTCTTCATGAAGTACCCCCGACATGGCCCAACACGCTGGCATTCCGACCTTGCATTGGCTCCCTTCGACACGAACGCTTTCGTGACTGTGTGGCTCGCTTTGACCCCGGTGCCAGCCAAAGGCGGTGCGGGACTCCGGTTTGCACAGGGCAGCCACCGCGACTACACTCTCCAGTATCATAGCGATCTTGCGGACAGCTACACGCAAGACGATTCTAGGCTTTGGAGTACCATACTCTAAGACTTTTTTCTTAATGGAACGATTATGATATACAAGTTTGTACTTTTGTCTCCCTGGTTTAACTTACTTAAAATCCCAGGATTTGAGCAGCCGATATCTCATTGCAGAAGGCACAGACTTAGAGCCTGGAGATGCCACGTGGCACCACGGCTGGACATTACATGCCGCAGCACCCTTGGATAGGTCGGCAAGGAGCCCACGGGTGGCCTGGGCTCTCAGCTTCGTTGCGAGTGATGCCCGGATTCTTCCGGAAGAGTCATTGAGCATCGTCCAGGAGGCAGAAACCTGGTGGTGTTTGGGAACTTTTTTCGTTTTACAAGATTTGTCTGGTCTACTATAATTAATCCGAAGAGACAGCTAAAGTTTGATTTTTAGGCAAGGGTATGCAAGTTCTTTATCATAGTTGGGTAACATTTTACATTTTTATGGGTACTTAAACCCAATAGGGAATACAAATGTAAATTTTCATCCTATGCCAACCATGAACTAGCGTTCAGTACAGGAAGACTCCGTGTCTTTTCAACCTTGGATCGGCAAGTTGCCACCCGGGGGTCTGGCAGAACACGCAATGTTGCCGCTGCTGCCGGTAGAAGCATGATTTAGGCCCAAGTCTTGGGGTTTAGGGTTTAGGGGTAGAAGCATGATTTATAGTAAACCCCATAAAGTTGGAAACCGGATTAAGGCCAAATAGTGCTGGGATTCCCTATACATTACTCTTAAGGATCGAGGCTATGGGGTTTCCAACTTTTGGGCTTCTACTATAGGCCCAAGTCTTGTTTCCATATGGTGGTGTACCTGTCTGGCGCATGCAAAGGATGCAAAACAAGGTCTGATTGAAAGAGTTACGCCTGGAAAAGCACCCTTTCTAGCTTGCCTTTGAAGGACCTACGGACAGGGTTTCGTACAGGCATGGCACAGCATCTGTCTGTAGTTCTTGGCCTGTCGATTCATGGGTTTCCCATTCAGCACTAGAAACGGAGCAGGAGTTCAGGTTCAAGCTGGGTTCCTCAGTAATACCTATTTGCCCTTTTCATGTTGGGGGTCTCCTTCCGGATACTATTAAAACAGGTACCCTTTTTATTGTTAAGGGGCTACTGGGGAACCTAGGAAGTGTCAGGTGTGTCCGGTGTAGGACTTTGGTTTCAGTGTATGCTGGCTCAGTAGCCTCAAGACGCCTGCTGATACCTCGTCGCTACATAACTTAAGTTCTGCTGCTCTCGTACACTAAACTCATGTGTCCTGCTTGTCAAGTTGAACATTCTATGTACATCACTTATCGGGTCTGTGTAACATGTATATCGAAGTAATGCATGTAAGTGCTTCGTCGGTTTCCAAACCGGATGCAACCGTTGTCAGGCCATGAACTTCTTTCTGTCCAACCGGGGAGACCTGAACCAGAGGCAAGTTCAGGTTTCATGGGCTCAGGGCGTGAGATTCAGGTCTTGGTTGCTAATGGGTATAAATTGTAGAAGGCTTGTGTGGTTGTTTGAGGGTCTGTGATTTCATGTA